ACCAGACTTGTTGTGGTCCAGGCCAGACCAGCTCTGTTTCGGGCAGGCAGCAGGGGCACAGTGAGGCTCCCTCAGCAGGCAAGTGGGAGCCCAAATCTGCCTCCGATCTTGACTGCAGCTTCGACCTCAGCTATTTTTGTCAATATTAAGCTCTGCCCATATATCCCTCTCAAATAATCCCCAGTAATCTTTCTCTTTCTCAAATGTAGATTATTTTATCCACAGAAGCCCTCAGACATAAACCTTTAGCTAACTGAGAAGAGTTCCTTGGCTATCTTGTAAAGATCTCCCTATTGCAATCCCCTGCTGTGTAGATCACATGAAATCTAAGGACTGGAACAAGAAAGGAATGGCAGGGCTGAGAGTGAACCTCTTAAATGATGTTGGAGACCATGTCAAAAGCTGTATTTGTCCCTGAATAGCTTTTGTAACTTGTCAAAGACTGTGAAAAAGTTCTTAGGGGAGCTGAAGGTCCTAATATACTTAAACTCACATATGAAGGACCCATGATGTCTTTGTGTATGTATATCATGTTTTCCTAGATAGCGGTCAAACCACGTCAGGTGGATTTAGTGCTAGACAACAGGCTCCTGAAGTAAATGTTTTAGCAATACAGACATGATTGTAGCAAAAAGAAGTTATTAACTATCTTTGAAATCCAGAGAGAAAACACTTCCAAGGGCCAGAATCTCAGCTGGTGTAGATCAGTATCAGAGTCAGGCTGTTATACAGCAGGTGATGAACTGTCCTGCATCCTTAAAAGAAATCAACTGGACAAACATGGAACTGCTTATTGTTTTTTTCAAGAGTCCTTTCACTCCTCCTTTTCTTCCTTCTCTTCCCTCCATGTCTGAAAGTCTTTACCATTACACAGTGAAAGCAAATAAACAAGGAAGGTTAAAATCTAAAACCACTCATCCAAGTTAATTAAGTTCAGCCAGCCTCAACTACATCATCTGGTAAGATCTGGCAAGTCGTGTGTGTGCACATGTGTGTGTGTATGTACATGCACGTCTGTATATCTCTTCTATCCAGAGAGAATCATTCAAAAATGTACAAAATTTAAAATGTGCTATTTCCATGCCTAGCTGTGAGGTTTTTTCATTTTTTTTTTCCTTGTCTGTTTCTGTTCTTACAGCTGCTTTCATATCTTTCTCCAACTTCCCATTATTACATTTTCCTCCTTTTATTTATGATGCCTGATTCCCAGTGTACATTATTGCTGCTCTGTTGGTACTTTATTAAATACGATACAGATACTAGAGTGAGAGTGAGGTTTTATGTCCCACACATGGTGTGTCGTAATTGTGGCATTTTTACTTTCCATTAAGAAGTATCTCCAGGAGGGGAGGATGGGGGACTCGGTTCATTACTTCTATAAACCGAAGAAGAAACCCCAGACAAGCTTGATGAGTTGTTAAGTAGTCTTTAAAGAAGTCTTTAAATCAAGATTAGATGTCTTTCCTAAAGAGACTCCCTAGTTCAACCAGAAGTTACAGGCCTGATAGAGGAATCAGTGGCTAAATCTTTGTGTCTTGCAGTATGGAACAAGTCAGACTACATTAAAATAATGTCCTTCTGTCCTTCAAATTTATGAGGTTGTAATTGGAAGACAGTGGCTTAACTAGTCAAGGTACAAAACAAAGATGGAGTAAAACTATAAACAAATCCATGAAGGAAAGTGTTTTATTTTTATATATTATTATTATTATTATTATTATTATTATTATTATTATTATTATTATTATTATTTAATTTTACTATTATTAATATTATTCTTTTAATTGAAATATTTTCCTAAAAGAAAGGACAAAGGACTCTACTCAGTCCCTCAGAGACTAAACCATAAGCAGGGCTCAGTCACTTTCAGCTACATTCTGGTAGCTTTCAGCTACATTTCAGCTTACATTCTGGTAATGCCGGTGTATTGGCATTACCAGAAACCAAGGAATCATAATAAAATGTGGTAGCTCTTCCCTGGGTGTTCTTTTTCCCATGATGAGCATCAGACCTGGTCAAAGGCAGACAGGTGCCCAGGAGAGCAGACTGCTTGGGCCTGTAAAATGCTCATCAGCCTGACTATTTCGTGTATGGCAGATACCTGGCAAGGCAAAGCAGCTGTCTCTGCTGGGAAGAAACTCCTAGTTGAGTATCAGCTGCTGCCCCTGATCACCCTCCCTCAGGACAGATTTGCCTCCAGGAAATTTTTCCCAGCTTTCTGTCCCAGCTCTGCATTTTCCACTGTTCCTCCTTTCTGTAACAGAAAAAGCCCATCTTTGGTCTGATCCTAGTGGCTCCTTGATCTTACCTGAGAAGCCTTGAATGATAGCTGACAGCATTCAAGACAAGGACCAATGGCTCTATCTTGCCACAGTGGGACAGTCTGCTCTCCCCATAACCCCAAACCACAACTCCAGAGAGGTATGAAATATGGTTATAAAGCTTAGGATGCACACATAAGAAAATAAATTAATGAGACCATAAAAATATTAAGTGAGCAATCAGGATGGCCTTTATGGCTCTCGTGACATGAAGCAAATCTGCAATGAGAAGAGGATTGGGACCCATTGAATAAATTGTTTAATTTCTTTATATTTCTTTCACATGTACAGAGCCTTCCTTGTAAGTGCTGTTTTCTGTGTGTGAACCAACAACAACAAAAAAAAAGGCAGCAAAGGACCAACAATATGGAATATTGTAATCACATATTTACTTACTGTCCCTTTTGCTCATCTTTTTTTTTTTTTTTTTTTTTTTTTTTTTTTTTGTGTGTGTGGCACCTTTCCACTTAAAGAGGGACTGATCCACATATAGGAAAGGTGATATAAGAGGAAAAATTCAGAAACACACAAAATATAACGATCAAAGGTAAAACCCCAAAACACTGATCTCTACAGATTAGCATAGCCAATTGTGGAGTATCAACCTAGTAACTAAGACAGAATGATGGTAATTTGTGTTTCTGGGTATAGTCCTAAACAAGACTGGATTTTCTTGAAGGAACTAAGGTACTCTGTAGTTCTCAATGGTTTTATTTTTTAACAGTGACTCTGTATCTTTCATTTTATGGCTGGAACAACACAATGGGGTTTTCTACTTTCTTGTAATTTTGATTGATTTTGATACTAATATGGATAATTCTCAGCCATCAGGCTCAAAAGAAATGCAAAAGGAAAATTAACTGCAGTATTCTCAAGACAATTGAAAGAGAGAGACAGATGTTCAGGGTCAGAAACCAGAAGCCAGTATGCAATTGCTAAGTCCCATCAATTTCAACACTGAGGTGCCTTTGATGATCTCTGCTGGTTCCTAGTTCTGTGTACCAGAATATGATTTAAACTATGCTTTATTTAGCTTGTCAAACTCAATGATTTTATTTTGAGTCATTTCAGTCATCCTCATGTAACTTAGTGCAACTAACTGGAGAATCTCTCTTCTGTTCTTTTCCTTTTTCTCTCTTTCATTCGCCTCTTTTCCCTTACAAATACATAGACACATTTCCTCTAAGTAAAATTCAGGCTTCAAACATTTTGAACACCTTAGAAGGTTTCTTTCTGAAACCATTATACAAGCAATGCACTTGTGTGAAGCAACATGGGTGACTGAAGGAGGGAATGCCAAAAATGCCTCTATTTCAGTAAAAAAACACCTCCACCGTTTGTCAAGTCATACCTTCCTGCAACTTGTGTGTTTTTAATAGAGAAGCAAATGTGTTCAATGTATTACCAAAGCTGTCTGAAAACTGACTTTTTCTGAAAACCAGGGTCAGACATTTTCCCAAAGAGGACAAAATGAATTTTTAGGTTCAGCATCTCGAGTTAAGGTTTTCAGTTAAAACAAAAATCTACCAAAACCAGAGAGGAATGCAAGCTGCAGAGCCTGCTGAAATGGCAGAGAACAAATCCAGTCTGTGTACAAGCCTGCAGACTACTTGGAGGTGGTGGTAATATTTGCTGTGTTGCTGTCAGCCCCTCTGCCAGTTATCAGCAGCAGAACTGCAGCTGTCTGCTGAATAACACATTTGTTTATACAGTAGATTGAGAATATTTGTGTGCGCAGCAAACTCCTTGGGGGTATAAACAATGTGTTTCTGAAGAGGCCCAGTGTCATTAGAATAATCAAGACTTGTAGTATGATAAACAGAGTCACAAACAGAAAGTACTACACAGACTCTCGAGTGTGGTATCGCATTTGGTGTCAAGTCCCCAGGATGATCTGTTCAAACAGCTTTTCCTGTGGCGTAGACACAGGTTGCTACATACTTTACAGAGAAATCAAGCGGGAGACATGGTCATGGTGCATTTTTGATGAGACCTCGTCAGCAATGTGCTGGCATGTGGTAAAAATCTTCTATTCATTGCACAAAGCCCAAACCTTTTTCCCTGTGCAAACCATGTGAAATCCACTGCAGTGGAAGAATGTCCACTTTCTTTACCAATAAGATCAGACCAAGGCCAAGGTCATATTGTGGTATATTTATATTATCCTCACAGCTGTACTAGGGAGACCGTCCCCTCTCAGGCACTCCACAGGAGTCAAGACTGTGACCATCCAGTGTGGGCCAGCCATGCTCACACTGCAGATGATTTGGCATGGGACTTTGAAACATCCTTTCAACACTCATGAAATTTGTACAAAGTGTGCAAAAATTAGTGAGAGAAATGTGTTTCAACTCTGTTTAGCTATTTCATATCATTGTTAATTTCATAGTCCTATGAGTATACAGTGCTTGCCTTGTTAGCTATGGGTTTGCTGCTGGGAGAAAAAAAAATGGTCTTGCTTAAGAGAGTCATGAGAGTCAATAGGCATGAATATGGTGAAGACAGTCAGGTGGTGGGCCTACACAATGGTACAGGTAAACTCTTGAAGATATTCCTAGGAAAATTAAGTCTCAATGACTTGGAGCTGGAGTGTGCATTATATGATGAAGTTGGGCATATCTTCAGAAATGGCTACATGGGTGTTAGCCCTGATTTTCCAGTCTCACAAAAATTAGAACATACACAGAGATCCCAGTGAATAATCTTCTTCCAGGAAGGTCTGTAGACTCCTAAGTTAGGTCATGAAGAAAAAGAAGGAAATAAAGTGAAAAGGAGAATTACAAAAATAAGAAGGTAGTAAAGTTACAATAGAAGAGCAGAGCCATCATTGAAACTATGCTCTTAGTGACATCCACAAAGATGAGCAGTGCACCAATTCCAAATGCATTCCTTCAATACCACAGAGCAAATGCTGCCTCCTAACTCACCCACTCTGTCAAGTGGCATTAATCATTCACATACTGTCATGAAATACCTGCTATGGGAACAGTGAACTGAAAAGGGTTCATTATGACAGTGTCATTTTATTATTTTTCAAATAGTAAGTCCCCAGGTGTGTGACGTAAATCAAATGGCTGCATTTTGCACAGCATTTCTTTGGTGCTGATAACCTGGTGAACTGTTAAGATCAGTTCATCCATAATGAGTTGGTCAAGAAGGAAGAGATCAGACAGAAAATTAGTAAAAATGTGCCTAGGGCTTTTGACTTCTTGACTTTAGTCTCCTTTTCTCATCACTGTGATGAGTGACAGAAGTCTTCTGAAGCCTGTTAATTCTGTTTTGTTCCTTCTGTCCTGTTTTTCCTCTCCATTGAATTCAGGTCCTTCTTCTGAAGGTTAAAGATCTCTCCTTAAGAGTATTGCGTCTGTTCACTTGTAGAAATATTATGTTTTCAAAATTAACTTTTCTCTGTCTCCAGTTCCCAGTATCTCACTTTCTTCATCTTCTGATTGCCCACTAGAAGATGATCAAAAGTCAGCTATCAATGTTTGTATAAATTCTGGCATGAAAGAGTTCAGATGAATGGGGCAGTTGGTCTGCCATTTTCAATAAAAATACATATCAACACATAATTAGAGATTTGTCTAATCCAAGATTCTTTCTCCAAATCTGTCTAAGAGCAGATGCCTGGGTAATATACACAGTGAGTACAGAATATTTGTTCAGTTATACCTCCAAGTCTCTAGCATTTCCAAATCCTACTATTACCTACCTATATTGCCTAAATTACATTTGGTTTCTCCTTCACATTTCTAACACTTGACATAATTCAGACCTATTCTCCTTACTCAGTGTGATATCTTTTCACTATCTTTAGATCTGTACCAATTAATCCTTTTGACTCCAAATCTTTCCATAGATTTCCTTCTCCAGGTCTATCAGAACCTGTCCAAGTCTTGCTGCAGTGTCAGGTCACATCTCAAAAGGCATATCACAACACCCTTGTGGAATTAATGTCTTTAATCTCATAGACGCAAGGTAGAGTGGTTTCAAAAGAATCATTAACAATTTGTCAATCTTGTCCCCTTTTCTTTCTATTAAGCTTCTGTGCAAATCTGGGCAAACTATTTATGTAACAGCTCTGTTCACCATGCATGCTTTTTAAACAGTAAGGACTGGTATGTACCATAGCCAGCAAACTGTCATTCACATTTCAGGGAAGTGTTGTTGCATTTTTCTGAGTGGCTGAAGTAATCTGAGCACTTGGTGTCTGTCCCCTAGTCTCTTTGCCCGATGTGTCTGCAACAGCAAAAGCATGTAAACAAAAAATTATCTTGCAAATTTGAGATGTTGACCTACTGATCTACTGCTTCACCTCTTTGCACTGGGGCATGCATACTGTGAGCCTTTCCCAGCTGGATTTGGAAGCTGACCAGAAATGCACTAGCTGCTGTCCACAACTTCAACTGCAGGTGAATGCGAGCATAACTCTTTAGTCTGACTACATTTAAACTGAACTGAACATGTCCTGGGTACATTTCCGAGTATTGACCCTCACATTGTTAAATTATTCACACAATCCCTTTCATGATTTTGACTTCTAACAATGCAGAGAATTAAAATAGTTTCCTGTTCTTCAAAACTCCCAACACATGGAGACAAAAGTAACCACCTAGTCTGATTCTTGAAATATGTAGCCTGGGGAATTTCACCCAGTTCTTCACAGAGTGAATGCATCTTGTAAGAAGATGGTTCATTAGAATCTTTGCTCTGCCTCCATAACAGAATTTCCCAAAATAATGGATAAAATAAAAGTCAATGTCAAGACATGAGGAGTTTGGGAGAGGGGTTTAAGAGTCTTTTTTTCCTATCCTGAATATCAACTAGCTTTGTTCTGGGCAAAATATATAATTCTGTGCCTTAGGTTTCACATCCCTTGAAAGGATTCAAGATTCATCAGGTTTAACATACTCACACCCTCTTCGCATTGCTATTCTATATGTATGGAGTAGGAAGAGTTTGTGGAAAAACTCTCATAGAGAGTAAACAATAAAACACAGAAATAGTTTCAGAGTGGAGAATGGGAGAAAGATGGAAAGTTTGGATCCCTCTATTCACATGTGCCAACGATAAAGAGGCTGCACAGTCCCTTCCATTAGACAGCTGCTGCATCAGCTCACATACATAAAAGTTGTATATGGAAATAAGTTTGTGCTGACCTAAATTCCCCTTGTCCTGTCACCAGCTCCCTGTATCACCAACACAGGGTATTTTCTTCAACTTCTGTCTCTCCATCCTTCCATTACTGCTGGTATGTCATTTGCTGCACAGATGTTTCTCCCAAGCCATTGCAAGGTTATTTTTCAAGTGACTTCCTCCAGCAGATGTTTTCTGGTTCCCAGGTGTATGCGTTGCCCTCTCCACTGAGCTGAAACTCAGCGATGCACTTGACATATTACAGTGTCGTGCTGTCTCTTTGAGCTGGAGGGTCTGCAACATTGCACATCAATGACATCCCTCTGCTCCTGTCAGGCTGCTCGGTGATGGTTTCCCTCAGCAACAGGCCTCCTCGCTGTCTCTTCAAGTTGCCTTGCTACCTTGGCTGCACAAGCAGCTTTCTATGGTGCCTGAAATGAACTTTTGTAATTGCTGTGGAGCCTGTGCCCAAAACAAGAATTAAATACAATGATTATTCAGGCAGCCAGGACCTATTTCCCTGTAGAACTAAAGATGAAAGCCAGATGCAATAGCAAAGAGAGATCTATGAAGTAGTGCTCTGAATACAAGACTTTCTTCTTCCCTTTACCTGTGGAGTCAAGGTCATGCAATGACGTACAGTAGGAAAGTTGAATAAACCACAGAATTCTTTCCTCAGAGCCCAGAACATAATCCCATTTTAGGTCCTGTGGTAGATGGCTAAATATAGGTATTTGGCTCTTTCTCCCTCTGAAATCTGTTTTCAGATGCTTTCCTAACTTTCATCCTTTGGCATTAATCTAACTTTCTTTTAAAAATTGCAGGGGTGCAGACTGGTTTGTGATGCCAGCACTGTTTGGTTCAGCTAATATCTGGGCTAGCTTTAGCCTCAGGCTATGGAACAACTCCTTGCAAGCCTTCTGCGAGACAAAATGATAAGTAGAATCTTTACTTATTATCATTTAAAAATGAATACTATATATCAAACTCAAAAGAAAACAGCATTAATTTATTAAATTTATTAAATTAATTTCTCTCACCTTAACTCTTTCCCTATGCTCTCTCATTCTGGTGGCCATAGGCATAAAAAAAAATGTGGCCAAATCCTCAAAATGAGTCTGTGTAGAAAGAAAATATTGGGGCATAAAGGGAGGAGGATTAGAGCTAATGGGTTCTACCCATTATTCACACTACCCATATTCACACACAGCTATAGTAGGCAAAAATATGAACAAGGTTTTGCTGCTAAATGACTGTGTCTTATGCCTTCATATTGAAGGCATAGCTCTTTCTTTATCCTTGGATCAACTTGGTGGTTTAGCCCAGCACTGCTTAACTACAGCAGAGGAAAACTTGTATGTAACTTGTATGTGTACTGCCAAGCAACCTTGCAGAAATGGGACCAAGAAAAATGTCCTCCCAGACACTTTAGCTACATCTGTACTAGCAAGCTAAGCACTGTTAGGATCCTTTCCCTAACCCTGAGGCCAGCTGGAATAGTCTGCTCCCCCCCCCCCCTTTTTAAAAAAAAAACAAAAACTAAAAAAAAAAAAAAAACAAAACAAAAAAAAACAAACAAACAAACAAACAAAAAAAAACTTACCTCCTGAATAAAATAATAATTTCCAGCTTGCCTAACAGGGACAGTGCCTTGTCCATGCTGGCTCCTGAGCTGTGCATGGGAAATGTCTGCGAAAGCGCTAGCTAGCCTGGACCAACAACTTGCCAGGGATCATCTGACTGGTAGCAGACACTGCCAGATTCCAGTGTTTGCTACTAAGCACCGGTACTGATTTGGGTACTGACACAGACAAAGCCCATTGTGGGTGAGTAGTTGGCTATATACTTATACTTTTATATATATATATACACACACACATACTTACACACTATATATATATATATATATTTAAAAAGTAAAACGAGCTGTGTATAGGCATAGGTCTCCATCCCTTATCATCTGTATTGGTACTCTCAGCCCAGCTGTTACAGTTTTGATCCAAATAAATCAGCTGACTCATTACCTGTTCGTGGTTCAGGGTTAGATGAAAGAAGGACTTACACCAGTCTTTATTTTGGTGTGGTAAGAAAATTCAGTCACACAGGTACAAGCAGTGTTATGACATTTGGCTCCAGAAAAACTGGAGATGGCTCTAAATATTTATTAGTGTAGATTTATCCTTAAACACAGGTTTCTGTGGTTCTATTCTGATTGTCCAGTGGTAGGTTCCCTCCCACCTTGAGTCAGCTAATCTAGATGTGGGGGTAGGTGGTGTGGCTGAAAATTATTCCTAGTAAATAAGTGTTTTTTGTTTGTTTGGCTTTTATCTACAAATGACACTTGTTCACTGTGTCTTATTTTTATTTATTTATACTTTTTATTTTATTTTCAGTGCAGGTATGCATAGAAGAGTAGGGAGAAAATAGGATAACATCACTCTGGACTTAGAACAGTTTCTTGTTTTCTGGATCTAGAGCTTGGCGGAAAGAACTGAGCAGCTACAAAGATGTTCTGGGAATTTGTATTAACTGCACCAACCAGTGGTCTTATGCAGAATAAAATTTCCTTTGGACCCTCTCTACCACACACAACAAATTTATCTGCATTTGTACAACAAGATTAACACAGTCGTAAGTCTTAACTAGACTGCCTCTCCCTTAAATAGATTTCATTATCAAAAGTTACACTGCTTCAAGGATTCAGGATGGCCTTGAAAGCATTCTGTCTGGCTGTAACAGAATCTCACAAACAGAGAACAAATAATAATTTTAATAATGAATCCAAGTTCTGCTCTCATATACAAATAGATCCAAAAATGCATCTATTTTAGCATATTTTTGAAATTGTATTATTAAATGTAAACATACATCGCAAGTGTAAAGAAATCAAGACTGAATTCTTTCTTTAGGTAAGCTGCCTCCCACTGAAAGAACACTAAGATGCAAAAATAGACATCATTTGAAAAGGAGGGTTTGATTTCCTTGGTTTGATATATACGTACAGAAATAACATTAAAATATAGATAGATGAAAAGCTCCAGGTGTTCAAAAAACATTGAACTATTAGGGAAAATAATAAATAAATAAAAAGAGAAGGGAAAGTAATAGAATAGAAAACTGTGAGAAACAAAACATTATTATTACTATTATTATTATTACTATTACTATTTTTACTATTATTACCATTGCTATCAAGCATACGTACAGAATTAAAACGGTCTTGTCAAAATATCAAAGCAGGAAAAACAGCCTTAAATTTAACCCCTTTACACAAATATATCTTTGGTATCTCCACTGCTCCCCTTCTCCAGTCTTATTGGAAATAAATAAATAAATAGATTCATATATTCATAGATTTTTAGGGCCAGAAGGGACCTTTACAATCATCTTGTCTGAACCTCTCCTGAAGACATACCTTATAATTTTATTCTTACATCTAGCCTATATAAGTTACACTGAACCATTTCAAGCCATTTACAGTTCTGATTTAAACACTTCAAGCAACAGAAAGTCCACCCATATTTCTGAGTGAGTTCATTTGATAGTTAATTACCTTCACTGCTAAGTGTTTTATTGTTGATTTTAGCTTGAAATCATCTAGATCCAACTCCAAGATGAAGAATTTGGGGTTACCTTTTTCTGCCAAAAGCCCTCAGCCCTTTATAAAGAAATAGGAAATGTCCATTACTAAAAGCTTTTCTCTCTAGTTCCTAAAATCACATAAACTTTGTCTCAATGTTCAATCAGCCTCTTACTTTTACAACATCCAGCAGTCTTTAAGCAATAAAGGAGTCAATGTTACAAAATATCTAGAAATCCATTACAACCCACCTGTACCTTAGCCCTGAAAACACATGGCCTTCACTTTGTTTTGTGCCTATGAAGTTTGTCAAGCACTTTGGGAGCTTTGGATGAAAGCCATCTTATAAATGTACATTATTGCACTGTCATTATTATTGTGTTGTCATTCTGTGTTCGGCCTTTTAAAATTGTTTCAGCCTGCTGTAGCACTTGTGGTTTAATTTCCTTTCTTTAAACTAACAGCCCCATTGAACAAAGGAAGTAAGTGTGGGGACATTAAAAATAGACTGAGTTTTCTGTATTATTATTATTATTATTGCTGCAAGTTCACAGCTTACCCCATTATGACTCCATCTCATTACAATGAGTGCCAAGAATGTGCAGCAATAACAGGCTGCATTTGTGTAAAGTGGGACTTTTGCAATACCAGTTGCTGGGGAAAAATATCCAAGGAAAAGCAGTTGGTAGGCAATGGTATAATCCTTCTGGGTGTGCTGTTGTTCCTCAGACTGTAATGGGCATTGCCACACACGTGCTTGGGAAGAAGGGAGATCACATCTGGTTCAGTTCCTACTAACCCCAGAGCTTCAAGGAGTGGGGAGCAGAAGGTGGAGATTCCTTTAGAACTAGATGCAGTGAAACTGGCACTATCACATCCTCATGGGCATGCCACAGACCTGGTATTACAATTTACGAGGTAAGCAGGGTCTAAAGCCTTGAGTTGGGGCTCCAGCATGACTTCATGAGAAGCAACAAAATTTGCAGACTCTAAAGTGTGTCCTGCATTGTGTGGTCTTTTCTTCTCTGGTTACCATGAGCTCAGAATTGCGCTGCATGCTTTTTTGGGGAATGTCTTTTGGGGAAGCCAAGGCAGCAGTTTCCTGATTATGCAGTTAGCTGAAGTGTATGCTGTCTGCCCCTGCTACCAACCACACATTTCTGAGAGTTTCTCTGGACCAGCACTACTATTTGTGCAGCCAAGGTGAAGGATCAATGGAGGAACTTGTTTGGTTCCAGCCACAGCACTTCTCCAGGTTGATTCTGATCCAGTTATCATATGCCACAATTACAGAAAAGAAAAAAGAATGCGCGTTCATGGGCATAAAGTACAAGACAAACTATTTCATCAGCAGCCCATAGTAAGGTCAGATCCATGAAAGCACAGGTCCAACATGAGGAAGAAAAATGCTTTGTCCAAAATAATCCAACAAGCCAATGGCAGACATGAGAACAGAGTTTATATTTTCTGAACCTTTGCACAACCTACACATACTACAGCTAGAAATTGTTTGATATTTTTAAAAAGTTTCTCTCTGAAGATTCATGTGGAAGGATAAAGTCCCTAAATCTCTTCTCTTTGTTTTAAACTAGTCCCCTTTATCCAATCACTATCTGCCCATGTGTATCAGGTCTGACTGGGATGTAGTTAACTTTCCCTGCAGTGGCCCATACAGTGCATTGCTCTGCACTTGTAGCTAGAACAGCACTGGTATCACACCAGTGTTTTGTCTATTGCTGAGCAGTGCTGGCACAGCAGCAAGATGCCCTCCAAACCCCTCAAAGCCCATAGGCTCGGTGTGGACAAGCATAATTTGAGGGATTAATTTAGGCTAATTTACTAAACTAGCAGAAAGTAATCTCATCTTATATCTAACTGCATACTCAGTGGTGACAAATCTCTATACTTGATCTCACCTAGGGCTGCAGATCAGGTTGAATTCATTCAATGGATAGGACCAGTAGTATTAATCATTATTATCATTATGTGTTAGATAATAATTATTATCATTATTAATCATTAGGAGAAGCATTGTTTGAAACTAGTGAAAACGGATGATAACAGGAAATATATATATATAAACAAGACCTTTATTACAAAAGGAAAACCCAGCTGAAATACAACAAAGAATTCTTAAACATTCAGGCTGGCCCCATTGCAAATTATATGATAACATCTTATGATTACTTTGTGCCTGACACAGTTTTAGCCTAGGATACAATCTGTCATGCTGGATTGCAACTGTGTGTTCTCCACCAGGGAAAAATATATATTAGTAAAATTTACCGTCTGTGTCATTATGTGACTGCATAAATTTCAATCTGAACATATTTGTTAGTTTTAATTCCTTTTTTTTTTTTCCTTTCTAAAGTATTTTTCATATTATCTTTTAATATATAGCTCTTATATTGTCTTTTTAGGGGTCTTTTCAGATGTGAGAAAATATATGAAACCTCTATTATTTGTCAACTTTAGAACAGGGACTGAGAAGCTTTTATTTTAATGCCTTTAAAAATATATCTATCCATACAATTAAAATTGACACCAAAATGTTAATGATCACCAACAGTTATGGAAGGTTAGAGGTTTAGCAGCTAATCACTCTCTCAGTCTCTTCCTCTCATTGTGTCACACTCTCTGTTGGGGTGGCACTCCATGAACATAATTTGATTAATTTTACCCATGCTCTAATGTCTATTTATGAAAAGATATAGGCTGCAATATAAGGAATGTGGAAAAGTCAGTGGAGGTTTAATTGGATTAATCTCTGTGTTCTACATATATACTGGCAACTTTCGTGACAGCTTAGCTAACACGATAATATGCAACAAAGAGATCTGGTATTCAGCAGGGTCCCACACCTTAGCTAGGGGGGATACACCTGGGGAGGCTTCAGCATGCAACAGAATGACAGGCAGCTGACAGCACCCCTGCTCTGATATTGTCACAAATCTCTGTATCTGAAGTGCATTTTTGCTGAAACTCATACCCCAATTTTAGTGGCTCAGAGGGATGGTTTTCAGCTACACAAGCACTGAGTTTCTCTCCCTGGGAAAAACAAAATTGCACTAAGCTACTTTGGAGATGTCAGCACAGTGTCTATGAGGAGAGGGTAGAGGTAGAGGCAGAGGTAGGCAGAGAGGCCAAACAATGCCAGCATACCTATCCATCCATGGGCCTCTTAATCCCATCCATATCTCCCCTTAAAGCCAGTCCCTTATGAGGACATATCCATGTTGGTCTTGACAAAAAAATCTCATGACAATATATTTGTTAAGGTGCTCTACACAGGTAGTATGTATTTTCTAAAGTCCTCATCTTTCCTAAAGGCATTGGACTCAACT